TATCGACACAGCCGAGCGCTGTGTCCTAACCCAGATACCTCACGAATCAAGGTTTGAATACAATTTATCATGTCAATAATTAACTCGCAATAATAGTACCGTATCACGAGACAGTCTTGTTTTTCATTGTATTGGAACCGGAACTTTACGTGTCACTTGTCGCCAGGTTTAACACGGAAAGGCAGTACTTCTAATTCCGCAGAGAAGGAATTAACACGCACGCACCTTGCTGACGTCACCCATGAAGCCTGACTGACCACAGTTGTCGNATGCGTCGTTTCACAGGCGAGGACCACTTTACGCAGATACCGAAAAGAGCAAATCTAACAATGCTTGCACGTCTACAAGACTAAAATAGGCTTTCAACCAAAAGAGTTAGAATGTTCCCAAAATACGAAGCTGTTCGAATGGAAAATCCAGTTGGTGTTTTTCAAATCAGTAGTAGCTTTCCGCGCCCAGATGCGTGAAGTTGCAATACTTACACCATATTTGTGGATTCAAATATACAAAAGCAATGAATGATGAAACTAAAAGCAGTAGATTATGCTTGTCAATGAAGCAAGCATTTCTGCAATTCTGTGGGAATTTTCTCCGTCAATAAGTAAACGTGCTAGATGTGACAGAACAGAATTACGATACGAATAGGCAAGTGTAGATAACAGTTTGAATCTTGAGCGTGTGTATGACGTAGATACAGGTTTATAAAATACGCTGTGTAATGGGTGGTGAGTGTGTGAGTGTATTTTGGCATTGAAACTTTCGTATGCTACTAGGTGTCTCTTTATGATAGAATCCTCCAGTTTATCCTTGATAATATCACTACATTTAGAGATGTGTTTCGGAGATCCCGCAAGTAAATAAAAGTCTTTCTTCAACATACGGGGAAAAGTCACTGGGGGGCAATACAACCAGTGGGGTAGCACGCATACATTCACAAACTTACCAATGAGCTTATGGTGAACAGAAAGTAATCTCAATCGGAGTGAGAAATATGAAAGCTTTCCAGCTTTACAGAATGTGTGTTGAACATGCAGTCCTCCCCCTAACCCACTCACGCTTTCGAGGAACATAAAAGGAGCGAAAATTCATTGACCGTGAATTTATATTTATGAAATAGTTGAATCCAAAATGCACTAAATCATACAATTATTTACTCAACGGACTCTTCTGCGGCCCAACACTCCACTTGCTTTATATCAAAATAACTGCTTTCTGTCAGATTGAATATTTCGGAAATGTAATCCACCTCCTTCTGTGTTAACACGTCCTGGTAGGCTCCAAAGAATTGCTCACTTGTCACGAGGCCATTTTCATCCACAGACAGCCGATCCATTCTTTCCCGAATCTTTCCTTTCAAATGTCTTCTGAAACAAAAAATCAGATATGGCTTTGGTTTCCGTTTGCAAAAAACTGTGACTTTGATTTGATCAATGAATGTCAGAAGACTATGAATGATAATGTTTTTGGTCAACAATATGTATCCAAATTGTTAAAGAAAATGGATTAAATGTCAGATCGATATCGGTAGAATCCACAACCCAAACCAAAAAGTTTATTCCGGGCTAACGCATGGAACTCATATACGTGCAACAATTTGCAATGTTGTTTTTAAATAACGAACGTTGCTTCAACAATACGCGTGAAATGTGTCCCTCAAGTAACATATAACTAAATTAAAAGTAACTGAGGTCAGCCACTTCCAATCCATGGTGACTGGCCTTGATCAATGCAATCTTAGAAACTGGACTAAAACCACGAACAACTTGTTTATGTGAATCAGGATGAATCAGTTGTGAGAGTGATAAATGTGGTTGTTAGAAATGAACTCCAGAGCTTGGTTCTGACGAAGACCAAACGGAACCAAAACGCAAATATAAATTTGCTGTACCCGTCGGCAGTGGATTAAATGTGAGTGACTGGATACGTGACTTAGGAATTATCTGCATTCAAGTTTATTATGAAAGAATAAATTTTTCATAAACATGTTCGGACTTCCATTTTCTTTCCGGTTCTCATAACACTTCTGAGTGAAAATGGCTCGTAGACACTCATGTTTCATGCTGGTGTTAACTTTGACACACTGCGACCGGCTTAACTTGTAGTCGTCCGAGGTGAGAATGAGCTCGAGATTTGCCTCTGTAAAACTCCTTATGGACGTATATATGTGCATACCTGTATATACATGCAATTATCTGTATGCAGCATGCAATCGACAGCCACGCCGAGCATTTTGGGAGGAATTTACTCTGATATGACCCGATTCACCCCTCCCTGGAGAGATTCATTATCGTTGACGGCATTCTTTCCATGCTGCTTTGATATAGTCAAGCACGATAAAAGAATGTTCTTCACTAATGGAGTAAAACACGAGCAACCCTGGAATCGTACAGAGTAAAACCGTTACATTTAGGCGAGCGGTGAGCTTTTTACGCCCAAACGCGTAGAAGATAGTCTGCGAATTCTAATGTAAAAGTTCTCAACATGTGTGGACCAAGAAAGATAATATGGCACAATAACTTCCAGTTATTTGACAGATTTAGCTTTGAGGATGATACAACCAGTAACAGAAAGTACAGGCTGGTTACTCAAAAAAGTTTGATAATGCGTGCCTATTTTAAGGCCAAAGAAAAGATATAAACTTTGTCTACATTGAGCATTAAATATCGGGGCGAAGACCAACTAAACATTTGATTTAGACAGTCTTAAAGTTGGCAGAAACAGTCCGGATCAGTCGAGGGACAACCGAACACTACATCAACAGCATACTTGCACGCGCTAATATAGGAAAGGATGGGAAGTCCGTCATTATACAGTGATAAACAAAAGAAATGGAGACAAAATTACATCCTGTGAAACCCCCAGAATTTACTTCTAGCTTGGAGGAAGAGTTACCGTGACACAAGATGATTTGCGTCTTAGTAGTGAAGTAACTGACTAGTAAATTTAACCATTTAGGTTCCAGGCCACAATCCGACAGATGTTGAATGAGGATGCCATGGTTATGTGAACAGAGAGCATGGTCATAATCAAGCAAGTTGAAACAGAATACCAGACCCTTTATTCAGAAGGGTTGAGATGGAGCAAACAATGTGAGCAACAGCATAAAAAGTGGAAAGCGAATATTTGTAAGCAAATTGAATAGGGTCACGGTAACAGATAAAAGCGTCAAACAGTTGGAAAACACTCTTTCGAAAACCTTAAATAATACTGATTTGCACGCACTCGATCGGTATTTGGAAGATTCTTTTTTTGGGTATTGGTGGTATCCGAGCGGCTCTCCAACAATCATGGATGCTTCCAGATGAAATCCAAAAACTGAAGAACTGGGAAATAGGTGAAGCTAGTTGTTCATTACACTTTTGTAGCAAGAAAGGGAGCATTTGCCTTGATAGACTTAAGGGACGTCAGTACTTTCAAAACATCTTCACTGGGATAGACTGGTTCTCTCTATTGGATCCAAATAAATATGATGCAGTTCCGTACAGTGCATTTGCGAATTGACGGTCTAATTCCTCAGCATCCTGGAAAGAGCTATTGTGTGATCCACAGATCTGTTTCAAGATAAACCACGTATCGCGAAATTTGCTGTTTCCAATGGGAGTTTCAACATACATCGGATTTAGGTGCTGTACTTCCATGTTGATTATTACCGATAGATGTGTGACAGCACTACACTTTCCAGTCCTGTTAGCCTTATCGTTATCGAACGAAGCCGCTTCAGAAGTGGTGAAGAAAATATGTCAGTCGGAATACGTGAAGTCTCAACTGGGTTTCACAGATCATGGCAAAAATTAAGATGAGATATAGGATGCTCACAACTGTGCGCGTTATAAGCATTTGAAAGGATATTGAAATCGGTAAAAGAAATCATATCTCTATACCTGGATAAGTTGTCGGGAGTGCAACATCTCCATCTGATGCGTTTAGATGTGGACGCGTTCGTTTAGTAATAAAAATATCTACTATGAGTCTCGGGATAGATAAACATAAAGTAACGGTTTGAGCTACCTCTGAGAGCCCGTTTTGGTAATGAAAAAGATTGGGTTATTTGCAAACGTCCCGTCAAGTTAGACATCAAGCCGGGTAAAACAATCTACACGACTTCTCAGACCTTTAAGTTGTGCGAGAAGAGATATTAAAACGATTGAAATCGCCAACCACAATGCACAGAAAATGGTCTAAACCTAATACAAGTAGTGAGGAAAAAGGGTCGACGAACAAACGAACACCAGAGGCAGGTGTTTGTGGATTGTTGTCAATGTTATTTAATGTGATCTGACTAAGTAATTGAGAAATCGAGGCTCAAAATAAAGAAGATTGAAAACAGATGCGTTTGTGAAATTAAATAGTAAACCCTGTAAAATCGAAGCTAACATTTTTATTCCTGATTTTTGACATATCGATTACACGTTTTGTTTAGTGATAAATATTGATCACAAAAGCGTACTACACATACTGCATTATTTGATTACCAGTGAACTGCACGGTTTCATTTGTTTCACGACTCCACTTTGGATGTATCTTCATCGAGAATCACGTGGTGAGTCTAATCACTTGTATATCTCGTTCGCTTTTAAGAGAAGTGTTTATTTGGAGTAAAATGTCACATAAGGCAAACCTGATTGTGCAACATTTGAAAGCAATCACGATTTCTAGTTGTTCTGTAATCAGGGATATGTTGGTGCACATGGATCAACCAATACACATCTATTGGCCAAACAATGTTTCTATATATTCCATAGATTAGACCACACACCGATTTTGCCATACAGCCTTGGAATCCGAGGCTAATTTGCCACCAAAATGTATTCGATCGTTTGCAAAGCATCAAATAAAATGATTTTGCGATTACACACTGAAAACGACGGTGATAGGCTGCATATTCTTGGACTTCATTCATCTGAACACCGTTGATAACTGAAATACATGATCCTGGTACAGCAACCACTACATCACTGTAAACAAATCGTTTATCACTCTACAAACATTATCCACGAATGTTCATCTCAACATACATCTTAAACGTTTCCTCCAAAAGAATCTTATAGACTATATACGTCACTCTTTCAGCCGCAGATTTTGTAATACTCGGAACTGTTTTCCACCTCAAACTGTTTGTGCTCCAAAAATAGTTGCATTCAAATCACGTCTCGATAAACCATTGAAACAACCATGTTTCCAGCAATCCTGGCTGAACGTTATAATTTGGTATTCAATTTTACTATCAACTGAACGCAGTGTGTACAGATCCTATGCAATTCAATCAGTATGAGCTTTGTGATATACTCATAATGAATCAAAGATCACAAATTGATTGGCTAAACGAATCATACTAGCTTAAATTCAATAATGGTAGTGGATGGAGTGGAACTTCTCCGTAGCAAACAATATGAATTGTGATTTTTCTGAGTTTATATTTTTGCCAATGGATTTCGGTCAAGCAACGAATTCTCCTATTCAATGATTCACAACTGTCACACTTGTAAAGCAAAATACATTTTGCCCCTGTTCGTCAAAAGAGCCAGCCTATGTACTCACGGTATCAATTCTCACAAGCTCACATTGGTTTGTCCTCGTTTTTCTTGTTCTCTTGAAATCAAAACAATTGAGGTACCTTCTGTGAAGGAGCAATCATTCGCGTCCCACAGAAAAACATTACAGTCGTATATAAATACATAAAAACAATAAAGTTAGTTACACTGTCACCTTGGGTAGTAACTCGCACCTTCAGCTCAGACATTGCACAACCCGCTTCATCAATGAGTTTGAGTGGTTGAACGATTACAAATGTGCACTGTAAGTATAAACCTTTACCACTTGGAAATGCAACAGATTGATTTGACAGTGATGGATAAGATGCATACAAGTGGTTCTATTTTCAGGGATGTAGGTAATCACGTGTGCTGCACACATTGAATGGCAGTTGCGATCTTTTCGACCTGACATGCAACCTCTTTTATTTTCGTCCCTCACTCACTCCCCTCAGAACAAAAGGAACAGTGAGATAGCGTTTTTCATCTTGCTAATATATTATTAAGCCAAAATAAATTTCCTCTGCCGTTAATCCCTCGTGTTACTGAAGTTTCATACTGATCCCAATCTTCACATATTATATCAGGTTCAAACCATTTGAGCCTGGAGGCTTCGTCTCGAATCCCACAACTGTGAATCATTTACTTCTATCAGATGCCTCAGTCAAATCGAGGGACACTACGTCCAATGTAGCCCAATTTCGGATGTATTAACAGTTCCGCATTTATTCGAAGGAGTTTGAGGTGATAGGTTTTTGACTGATAGTAGGCTCATATTATCGCTTTGGAATGCATCTACTTTTATTAACATCACTTGTATAATTGCTCTACACCAGACCAGTTAGATAAATGAACTATTGTAATCGCAAAAATGCGTGTCATCTCCCATACCAAGCGAGTTGCGACATATTTTAATGGAACAGCCACCTATCGGATTAAACCCTCGATGGCTGGAGTCATCCACGAACGTGTTTCAAATATGATTTATCAAGTCAACTGCAGATACGGAACAGAGCAAATCTAATGATGCACGTCGACACGGCTAAAATGGGACTTTCACTCAAAATAATATGGAACTTTCCTTAAATGCTCCCTGAATGTAACAGTTTTGCAGTTCTTACTGCATTACAAGCGTCCTACACTAAGTGGATTACGATTGGAAAAGTGTGCTTCATAAATCGAAGCACATAGACAAGCTTTGTGTTCCCTTTAGAATCTCTTTAATCCAATGATTCGTCTTGGTCGTCACTGACTTTATCGATGTTTCTAGTGGGCAAACATTCATTCAAGGCATTTTCAGGACGAAGGGGAATATGAAACGAGATTGGATAGGTTTGTGTAATATTCAATCAGTTGTGATTGATTAGGTAAGGAAACAGAAATGATGATATCATCAGCATACAGAAAATGTCTTACAGGGGGAGTAACAGGTCATTCACTGACATAAGTCGAAGAGAGATAGGGTGATAGGACAGCACCTTGAAGTAAATCCAACCTATTGAGTGATGCGGATGATTGTCCTATTCCCAATTTAACCCACTGATACCTTTACGAAAAGTAATCAGCAAGCCATTCGAGAAGAGAAGCGGGATAGCCCTAAGATTGGAGCCTGTTAAGTAAAATGGAACGGGCGCCGAGTCGAAAGCCGAAGCATAGTCAAGAAACGCACAATGCACATATTTGGCTTTCTCGTTAGGGGCTTAGAGATGAAATGAACTAGAGATAAAATGGTATCTAATGTAGAGCGGTTACGTTTGTATGCAAGCTGCTAAGCGTCACCGGGGGTGGTAAGGGATAACTGAAGACGGTGCAGAACTGATCGCTCTATCAATTTCAAACCAGTGGAAGTGGAAGCAATTGTGTCTGAAACGATTCGCTATTGGGCCCTCTGACGTTCCTTTTGGGATGGGAGTAATTCTCACTGGGCGCTAGCAGTCTGGAATAGTTCGGAGTTCGAGTGAAAGATTAGCTATGTGTGGGAAAATTTGAGACAGTGGCAGAGCGCGTGTTTTACGAAGGGTAGGACTTAAGTTGTTGTCTGGACCAGATGCGGTCGACACCTTGAGGGAAAACATGTTTTGATACATCTCACTAGAGCTGATGGGATCAAACGAAGGTTGGCAGTTTGAAGAACTGGAATCAACATGGCTGGGGTATGTTTTGGACGAAGAATGAACAAATGCAGCATTCATTTTTTTAATACCAATATACATACAGTAAATAGAACGGGATAAGCTGATCCCGCGGAAGATAGAACCATGAGTGTTTCCTTTCACAATCCGTTTGAATTCCAATTCGCTTATCTCTTTCAGTTGAATTTATGTTTAAGTACATTCTATTGGTGAGGTGAAGCTGCCTAATCATGGCTCAAGAAAACTCTAGTGATAAATGATATCGATCTAAATGTTTTCCACAGAACACGGTCACATCTTGCCCATATTTGCAGTCAATCAAAATGCGATCTTTTCATTTTCACTCCTTGTGGAAAAAACTCTGCCGAATAATCTGAGTCCATCATTCAAACCGACTGATTAGTTCTCTGTGTGAAGCGAGGAATCTTCGTATCAAATTGCATGAACTTGATACTCTTATTCAGCATGACACACCGAGCTATGGCAACGCGGCTCACATCACTATCAGTGCATACCATTTCCTCATTTCTGTTCCTCAGGGTTAGGTGTAGGGATTGAGGTCCATTTCAACGTAACAGATTGGGCGTCGAAGATCACGTCGATATTTTACCAGTCTACAGCCAGACCGCCTCCCGCTCCACCTCAACCATGCTTTCAAGGCGCATAATTTGAGCAAAAATATACTAACATTTCATTTATATTTACGAAATAGCTGCATGGAAAATGCGCCAAATCAAAAATTTAGTTACTGAAGAAACTTTTCTGTAACCCAGCACCGCACACCGTTCATATCAATGTACCCGTTTCCATTCATATCGAATGATTCAAACATAAATTCCATCTCCTTCTTTGGTAACGCCTCTTTGAAGGCCGGCGCAAATTCCTCTCTTGACACTCTTCCATCTACGTCCGCATCGAACTACGCTCCACAATCTATTTCAGTGGATAGATACATCGATTTATATAAATTAACTAGCAAAAAACAAATGAACAATCACATCTCACTCACTCCTCAAATTCGGTTGTGAGCCAGTCCAAAAGATCTTTTCTGTCCAACAGTCCGTCTTGATCGCGATCAAACAGGATAAATACTACATCCAATTCTTCCGCGTCAATTACATCAGATAATCCGTTTACCAGTTCCTCTCTGGATACCTTTTTCTCGCCGTTTTTCTCCGTAAACTTGCACACTTTGAGAAGCACTTTCTCCAAATCGCGCTTGCTTTTCACGTAAACCGGTTAGAGATCGACGTGAGAAAGAAAAGCAATATTTGTTAGATAGGAATAAAGACTAATCATGTGAAAGCACACTTGGTGGTTTCGCTTGCACAAAGTGTGACTTTGAGTAAATCAACGCAGATGTGAATAGAGTCGGTCCGGGTCATCAATACTTAGCCAAATTGGTACAAGAATGGGTGATATGTCACATCAATAACGATTAAATGAACAAGTCAAATTGAAAATTTTATTCCCGGAATCACATAGAACTAATCAACATGTAGCAATTTATACTATTTGCTGAACTCATAAAATGCTGTTTCAAAAAACCCGGTGCGACTTCTCTCTCATGTGATATATAATTGAAGTAAAACTACTTGAAGTGACTCACCTCAAACTCACGTTTGTTTGTCTTGATGAACGAAAGTCGAGAAATGGGTAGAAAAACACGATTAACATGTTTATGCAAATCAGGATCAATCAGTTATGGGAATCATAACTGTAGATGTTAGAAATTAATCCCGGAGCTGGTACTGACAGAGACCAAGGTGAAAACAAACGTACATATAGAGTTGATAAACCCGTAGACAGTTTAGTTAAAATCAAGTTGAGTGACGGGATACGTAGGTCTTACCAATTACCTGCATTCAAAGTTATTAATAGTTTGTGAATCATGAAGAATGTATTACAATCATTTAGTGTGAATTGGATTAGTGTTGATTATTGCTGCTTGTTTGAGAGTGCTTTTATACTCACGTTTCATTTACCCAATCAGCTCATTGTATAAAAATGTATTGTTTTCCCAAACTGTGAAAGAAGTATGTATAAAGGGTTCAAAATTCTTGGGATCCCATTCTAGTGCATTTTGGTGATACTTTGTGTCACTTATCCCGGTTCAATCTCCGTTCAAATCTGTTGAATCAGCTGGTATTTCGAAGTTGTTTTCAGAATGTAATACGGTATGATACTTAGGTGTCAAATGTAATCCACTCGTGTCACCTCGGCTGAGGATGAAACGCTTGCAAATTAGTTGTCAAGTTCGGCGGAACAGGTGAAATGGAATTCAGTTCACCCGAGCTACGAGAACCGATTTCAATAATTTGTCAAATGTCTGGACTGCATTGAATCAAATTGGTGTCAGTGTGGACTGAATCAAACCGGTGTTCATGTATGAGCAAATGTCATCAAATAAATACGGTCTAGACAAGTACAGCAATCGGCATAGTAACAGCGGTGCTCAACAGAGTTGCATTGCTTGCCACATTCTTTCTAGCCATGTGCTCGCTTTTTTCGTTTTATTTTGATTCTGGCCATCGATGATGCTCAGAATACACAGCGAGAATTCAATGGATGACCAAAACATTATTGCAGAATATTTTTTATGTGAAGTTCTTTTCCGTTTTCGACACTTCTGTTAATGACTGATCTTTGGTACACACTTGCACATTGGTTAGATTCATTCTAGATCGAT